ATATATAAGAAAAGCAGTGTTTTTTGTTGTTTTTTTTTAGACTGAAGGCACTGATTAAATAATAAATATGAAAATTTTATCCCCACTTTTAAAAATGAAGTGTACCTTGTCCCCTTAATCTGTATCCATGGCAACAAGAACAATAGTAGTTGCAGAAAGGATTATAAAACATAAAATATTGGTTATAGAGTTCTTCAGGGCCTGTCAAAATAAAATTAAGTAAAGCTCAGAATATATGAGTAACACAATGAACAGGTTGTGAAAGATGTACTTTCATGGATTTACTGATTCACACTATATAAAATTTATTGCATTGGATATTTATGGCTTAAAACCTTTTGAAGTTAAGGGTTATTGTCATGAAACAACAACAATCCATAGATTGAGTGGGCTCCAGTGCTTCTTCATGTAATGGTTGCCCACGGAGATAGAATTAATTTCATGAGTTGCCCCTAGGGGGCAACTAATTTTTGACTTCAACTGAGCCATTGCTCAGCAGGCGAACAGTTATACCTGGTGGAAACCCTCGTCTCAGCAGTAGTTCTTTTATCTGGAGAAGGAAACGGCATGTTTAGCTGCAATACAGTTACTGTATATTTGCACAAAAGATTTATATCTTTATATATATATATATATGAAATATATCTGAACTGTATTTTCAAGGACTAAGAACAAAAAAAAACATATGGTAAAGATCTGACTTAAGGTTAAGCATTGGTGATTAAAATTTAAGATTTAGGTTTGAAGATACAGGTTCTGCTGAGGTTTAATAAAATAAATACATAAAAACAGTTAAACCAGGGTAAACAGGTGAAGTTAAACTATTATTGATTTCATTAATCTCATTAAAGGTCCACACCAGATTTTCAATTATGTCACGGTTGTCCTTCAGTGACAGCGTGGTGGAGATCTTCATTCTCAGAACTTTAACAAAGGTTGGTTTTGCTTGTGCAAAAAAAAAAAAAAAAAGAAAAACAGTAAAAGAAGGAACACGATCATTTCAAGAGGTAAAGAAATTTAAACAAGATCAAAGAAGGGACACATAAACTTACCTTTTTCAACTGTCACAACAATGCAACGAAGCTCAGACTGATACACAGAACTGCTGTTGATGAGTAAAAGCAGATTTAAAACGTACCTATACATTTTCTTTAAATACATTCATTTAAGTTTAAATAGAAGGACTTTTAAATGAACTTTGAGACTCTTTGTTTTACCAGTTAATATACTTTCGAATGTCGTCCCATACTGTAAAGCAGGTGTTGGCAAAGTGAGACCAAGGGGGTCATTTAAAGCCCCTTAACTTTTTGTTGTGGAAAAACTATATATGCAGTTGGTGCAGACCTTGGCAAGCAACTTTTTTTTTCTATTCAACTTTAATTACTGTAAACAATAGTTCAATACCAGGCATATGATAGAACTTAATCTATATTTTTACATCTTGAGCCATCTCTATTACTATACAATGTATATACATGTCTCAACAAATATTAGATGTATCTATATACTTTTAATTAAGTATTATAAACTCCTTTAAAAAAAAAAAACTGGATTTTTAAAAAATACAGTTAGGTGTTTAGAGTTTGACTCACTCCTTATGAAAACATAATCATAAGCTGACATGTTGAAAAAGACCACCATAGTGTTTGCTGCCAAAAGACTCGTGTCCCCTTTAGGGATCTTAAGACCAAATCCCAATATAAACACAAACTTCAGAGTGATACGATATCTTACATAAGTGTTGTGTCTGCCAGACAGTGTATCGGTAGTTTAGTTCAGTATTTTTTTGTATTGTAATCATTATGGACTAAAAAACTAAGTCTGACCTCTGAATAACAAAACAGATGGGATGGCCAGGTCCTTCATCATATATAGATGGTTTCCATTTCAGATAGAAGTTTCCTGATCCTGAAGAAGTTTTGACCACATTGTGAGGTCCACTTAACAGAAGCTCCAGGGTCCTTTATGGAACAGAAAATATAAAGAAAGGTTTATTGATGTTTCAAGCTTCTTAACCACCAAGTGGTCTTCTCTTTTTCAGCCTCTTAATGTTAAAATTGGGGGAGACAGGATACAGGAGTTCCTGCAACTGAAGGGTTTCCCGGGTAACACCCCAGCTTTTTCCATTTTAACTAATTAGGTTATCCACTGCTGATTAAACTAAAACATTTCTATGTTTCTATGTCCTTTGAAACAAATATATATATATATATATATATATATATATATATATATATATATATATATATATATATATATGATCTTAAGAAACATTGTGAACATTTAACAGGGAATGGATCTTTTATTTATAATGAATCTATTTTTGATTAATTTTGGATTGTCTCACCCAGCCTGATTTGCGATTCCGCTGATTTTGATCTCCAGAGTCTGATTGACGTTACAGGAGAACCGAGATCCATGTTCTGGAGTTGGAGGCAGAAATCTGGGCAGATAATCACCTTCTGAGCATGATGGTGCTACAGGATCCACTAGAACACATTTAATTTATTTCAGCTTATTTACATAGCAGCAATTCACAACACATCCTCTCAAGGAACTTTATAGAGACAATACCACTAGATCATACAGTCAGATTGGTTCAAAGTTTTCTAAGGAGAACCAACTGATTGCATCGATGCATTGACTCAAAAGTGATCCCTTACTGCAAGCATGCAGAGGAGGAGAGAGAACAAATACAGTAAGTCACAGTAAGAAAAAAAAAACAGGACTACAGCGAAAGAAAGACCAATTATGAAAAAAACTCCATCTATAAACAAAGGTGTTGATATTTATCTTTGTTATTTTGAAGGGAGTTTGGCTAATTGATACGCACACAAGAGCGCAAACAAAAAATATCTAAGAACTCAAATTCAATTAACAAATTCAACTAGAACACAAAATGTAAATAAAACCAATGAAAACTAAGAGATAAAACTATAACAGAACCAAAACCATGACACTGGGGGATGATACAAAGACACAAAGTTATATCTGGACAGAAACAAAATCAATTTCAATACTAAACTGGAAATAAAAATGCAGACCTGTTTGTATATTGATCGTTGGCCCCGCCTGAATTCTGGGTCCATTTGTCTGAGCCCTGACATGCACAGCTTCATGTCAAAATTAAATCAGCAGCAGACTTTGGCTATATGAAAGATTCTCTATATTTCTGCATGTGGCATGTCTAACACATGACAGAAATTATTCTTACAGCTAAGATTAATGGAATTAACTTCATACCATGCAAACTGGTTGCAACATATCTGCTGATAATAAATATTTCCCCCTTTTTCTTAACATTACTATATCACATGTATTTTTCAGAGTCGATTCATTTTACCGCTGTAAATTTGGCAAACACGGTTTAGCTTTTACCTTGTATACCAAATTGGATTGGTATCCTGCTGATGGCATCGCTGGTAGTTTTCACAACCTGTGGCCCATTAGCCTGAGTCAGGGTTATTTGCTTTCTGGGGAGGTCCTCCATCACCATCTGGACCGCATACAAGCCTTCAGTTTTATTTGAAGTTGCATTGAAGGAGAACGTACAATTCTGCAAGAGCAAATAAAATAGACCAACAATCTTAGGAAAAGATAAATATTGTGAGAGATATTATTACATTGCATATGTATTGCACATTTATTTAAATAAATCCTAGATTTTCCCAGATGGAAGTTTTTAAACATCATGGACGTCCATCCTACTAAACATATTCCAGGTCAGATGCAAATCAATGATTTGCATATAGAATATGTTAGGTAATTTAAATCATTATGAGAGTGCTAGTGTAATTTCTTTAGATTTAGTTCATTGATCCTTAAATAATATATTGTATAATTCCATCCATCCATTATCTGACATGCTTAATCCCAAGTGGGGTCGTGAGGGGTGCGGGTGCCTATCTCCAGCAGTCAATGGGCGAGAGGTGGGGTCCACCCTGGACAGGTCGCCAGTCCATCACAGGGCAACACAGAGACAAACAACCATTCACACATGTACTCACACCTAAAGAGAATTTAGACAAATCAATTAACCTAACAGTCATGTTTTTGGACTTTGGGTGGAAGCCAGAGTACCCAGAGAGAACCCACGCTTGCTCAGGGAGAACATGCAAACTCCATGCAGAAATGCAGAATTGAACCCAGAACCTTCTTGCTGCAAGGCAGCAGTGCTACCCACTGCGCTACTGAACAGCCCATATATTTTATAATTGTTTTTCATTACTTCTTATTTACTTGAGGTCTGAGGACCTGAAGTCAGCACTATTAAAGAAAAACTGGATCTCCAACCTGCCCTGCAATGTTCAGACTGTGTCATCATCTCAGTTTCTTTGTAAGTGCTCTTGCAGTCAAATAAACAAATGCTCCCCATCACCAGACAGAGAACAGAACCTTTGAAGGTAGGGATATAGTGTCTAGGTTTCAAAAGATTACCAAACAGATGGTGTTGGAAGCTGAAACTCTCATGCAGGGGGACACCACAGCATGTCATCACAAGCTCACTCATAGCTAAATAAAATATTTATTTGCATAAACTTAACAGAAGTCAACTTAAAAAGGTCAAATTATCTCTTTTGAACAATAGAAAAAATAAATAAAAACTATTTCTCAACTTCAGGCCTATTTTGTCAATGGCCTCAATTTAACTCATTCAGTATTTCAATTTTCTACTTAAATAATTTTTATTTTATAAGGAATGTATTTGTCCTACATTAGTTTAGGTTGTGTTACTTACAGAGGACAGGCTGAGAACAGGTGGAGGTGTGCAGGGTGAGTCACATTCCTCCTCTCTATGGTCAGCATATCTGCATTTGACCTTGTCTCCATCAGGGTCAAAGGTCACAAGATTAATATTTCTCAGACAGTTTGAAGGAAACCTGAGTGAAAAAAACACATTGATATCCATCACTTTTTTATCAGGGGTAATGTAAAAGAAGAGTCAGACACATGGTTTAGTTTGGTCTGATTCTTGTTGTCCATCCTTTTAAGCTATGAATTTGATTTTATAAAAATAATGATTTACAGCATTTAAGTTAAAGCATCTGCGTTCCCATTAAATCTTTCAGAATAATATTCAATGATAAAATGCCGAACAGAAGGGCACAAAACAAAACAGATAGCACTGGGGATAAATGGCTGTCAGTGATGGCCTAGTGGTTAGAGTTTTGTGCTCGGGTTCCAGAGATTTTAAGTTCAAGCCCCACACATACCCATGCAATGCCATTCTGACCATCTGAGAAAAACGGCTCCCAGGGCATTGTGGGACAAGAACGGATATACATTTAAAACCAAGTTCCAAATACCAGCAACTTAATCAATTAAAACACACAATTTAAAGAAAAGTGTGCATTCAAGTGTTCATGGGCAACATGCACAACTATAAAGTGGAAAACCATCTATCGTTCTAAACTTTCAAAGAATCAAAATATTGTGCCAAAGAACGGCCCTGTTTACAACAGTGCAAGGATGTGGCTTACTTCGGTTGCTATTTTAGGCCCTGAATAATCTTACAACTAAATTATACTATTTNGTTCATGGGCAACATGCACAACTATAAAGTGGAAAACCATCTATCGTTCTAAACTTTCAAAGAATCAAAATATTGTGCCAAAGAACGGCCCTGTTTACAACAGTGCAAGGATGTGGCTTACTTCGGTTGCTATTTTAGGCCCTGAATAATCTTACAACTAAATTATACTATTTGAATCCCCTTATTAAACTAAGCCATTGCTGAGGCATATTTTTTTGTGAGTATCGATTCTGTCTTCATAGAAGCAGGCTTTTTTATGCACATAATCAGCTTTGTTTAATTCAAGGACACATCAGCAAAATGAGGAATACACAAAAATCGAATCACAAAATTTGAGTAATTACATTTAACTGGAATGAATTGTCGATCTATAGGAACCAACACCCTTCGCGACCCCACTTGGGATTAAGCGTGTCAGAAAAAGTTGGATGGATGGATGGATGGATGGATGGATGAATTATTGATCTCAATTACCCTTCATATATAATTGCATATTGACATAATAATATAATTGCAAATGTTTAATTCAATGGTAGCAGAATTACCTCAGAACCGGTAAGATGGTGGTCTGTGGTGATGAGTTTGGTTTGTTGGTGTCGGACCGACTCCTCGGTTCAACTTCAGCTACAGCTCTCCATGATTTAAGGTCATATAGATTTGTGATCCAGTTACCACTATCATACCTGAAATGGATGTTCTGCATAAGTTTTCCTTTTTTAGACATCTACCATCTATATACTCTTAAGTTCTGTCATGACAAAGCATTAAATAATTCTTTACGTTTTAGTTTATTAACTTAAGTAGATTACACAGAAAATCTAAACAGTTACTTATTTTTCTAAACATTATAAATTGAAACTCACACAAGCTGAAATGGAGAGTTGTTGGGAAGCAGTTGAGATGTGACCTCTTCAGTCTGACACCACATATTGGTTTGAACTTCGGATTTTTTACCAACTAAGCTTTCATCACCACAGTTGCCAGTGCAAACAAATGTACCAAAACCACAGGTTTTGAAGTTATACTTAAATCGAACGATCACCTGCAGATTTTAAGGAATTATCAGGTATGATTACAGTTTAAAAGAAATAACATGAAGTAATGCATAGATAATCTTTACTTACAGAGACGGAACCATTTGTAAAAGTTTCCTTTGTGTAGTAGGTCACCACAGTGCCAAGATAATGACTTCCCTGTGTACCAGAGACAATCAGCAACATCAGCACAGACAGCAACATGTTGAAAAGTCAGTGTCTCTACACAACAAGTTACTAAACACCAGAGCATTTATACTCTCACAGACTTCCTCTCATCCACTCCCTCTCATTTTCTATTCATTGATGTAAAATATTTTCCTGGTGGAATTTTAACAAAAACTATATATATATTTTGGGGGGTTGTTCTGTTGTTTTTTTACCTCTGTAATTGACAGGGGTGAATAAAAAAGATTGTCATTGACAGGCAATAAGATATGCGCTGCCTGCTGTGAATAGTTTTCTCTTTTTGACATGGGATGAAAGGAAAGGTTTAATTTTTCTGCCTCTCAGCAAATGTGGGGTTATTGTTATTTTGCTGCTTAAGAAATTTAGCAGGGTTTAAATTA